TCCAGTCTGGGCAACAGAGTGAGACTCCAACTCAAAACAAACAAACAAACAAACAAAAAGGGACCATGTTTTACAAAAAAAAAAAAAAAAAGAAAGAAAGGAACTAGAATAGATGAACAAATTAAAACGAAGGGAAGAAATGATAACCAGAGTAGAAATAAATGAATTAAGAATGGGAAAACAATAGAGGACATAAATAAAAATCCTGGTTCTTTGAAAAGATCAATAAAATTGACAAACTTTAGCTATACTGATCAAGAAAATAAGAGAGAAGACTTGGCTGGGCTCGATGGCTCAGCCTGTAACCCCCAGCACTTTGGGAGGCTGAGGTGAGTGGACTGCCTGAGCCTGCGGGTTTAAGACCAGCCCTGGCAGCCTGACAAGACCTTGTCTCTACAATAAAATAGAGAGAGAGAGAGAGACAGAGAGAGAGAGAGAGAGAAGAACGAAGGAGACATTACCTTTAACCTTAAATAAATAAAAAAGATTATAAGGGTATACTATAAACAACAGTGTACCAAAAAATCAGATACCCTAAATGAAATTGACAAATGTCTTGAAATACACAAATTACTGAAACTGACTCAAGAAGAAATAGAAAAGCTAAATAGGCCTATCTTGGAGTTTTCTATTAATATATACAGAATCATGTTATCTGCAAATAGGGATGACTTTACTTCCTCCTTTCTGGTCTGGATTCTTTTTTGTTTCTTTTTTTTTTTTGAGTTGGAGTTTCACTCTGTCGCCTAGACTAGAGTGCAGTGGCCGCTCCCAGCCACCGCAGCCTCAACCTGCTGGGCTCCGGCAATCCTTCCGCCTCAGCCTTCCGTGTAGCCGGAATTACAGGCGCGCGCCACCACGCCCGGCTAATTTTTTTTTAAATTTTATTGTAGAGATGAGGTCTTGCCTGCCCTGGCAGGTCTTGAACCCGCGGGCTCAGGCAGTCCACTCACCTCAGCCTCCCAAAGGCACGGGATTACAGGCTGAGCCACTGAGCCCGGCTTTTTTGTTTCTTTTTCCTGTCTGATTTTCCTGGCTATAATCTCTAGTGAAATGTTGAATAGAATTGAAGAAAGCAGCTGGGCGTGGTGGCTCATGCCTCTAGTCCCAGCACTTTGGGAGGCAGAGGTAAGAGGATTACCTGAGCTCGCGGGTTCGAGACCAACCTGAGCAACTTGATGAGACTTTATCTCTACAATAAACCAAAAAATTAGCCAGTTGTGATGGCGCGTGCTGTAGTTCCAGCTACTTGGAAGGCTGAGGTGGAAGGATCACCCGAGCCCAGCAGTTTGAGGCTGTGGTGGCCATGAGTGTGCCACTGTACTTCAGTCTGGGTGACAGAGTGAGACTCCTACTCAAAAAAAAAAAAAGAAATGAAGAACGAAGACATTCTTATCTCATTCCTGATCTTAGGGGAAAAGGTGTATACTCCTTTTTTTGTGTTGCTAGATTTAATTTGCTGGTATTTTATTTTATTTTTTGAGTTGGAGTCTCACTCTGTCGTCCAGGTTAGAGTGCAGTGACATAGTGACAGCCACCGCAGTCTCGACTTGCTGGGCTTAGACAATCCTTCCACCTCAGCCTTCCAAGTAACGGGAATCACAGACGTGTTGCCACCATGCCTGGCTAATTTTTTGGTTTATTGTAGAGACGAGGTCTCACCAAGTTGCTCAGGCTGGTCTCGAACTCCTGGGCTCAGGCAATCCTTTCACCTCCGCCTCCCAAAGTGCTAGAATTACAGGCATGAGCCACTGTGCTTGGCTAGTTTGCTAGTATTTTAATCTGGAGAACATTAATTCTTTTAAATTTTTTATTTTAAATATGTGGGGTCCAATTCAGGATTAGGTATACAAATGTTCATTATGCAGGTACCCCTGTTGATGAGGTATGTCTCTCCATCCTCTGGAAGTTTCCCTCAACTACCAATACCACCCCCACTCCCCTGGCAATTTCCCACTACTGCCAATCCTGCCCCCACTCTTGCCTGGCAGTTTCCCACTACTGCCAATCCCTTTCTTACAGTATTACAATAGTTGTTCGAGGTCCGCTTATGAGTGAGAACACGTGATATGTGGTTCTTTGTTTCTGTGATGGATCACTCAGTATTGTAGCCCCTAAGTCCATCCAAGTTACTGCAAAGTTCATAATTTTGTCCTTCTTTATGGCTGTGTAATATTCCATCATGAATATGTACCACATTTTTAAAATCCAGTTCTCTTTCAATGGGCAGCACGGTTGGTTCCATGTTTTTGCTGTTGTGAATAATGCTGCAATAAACATGCGTGTGCGGGTATCTTTTTCATAGAGTGATTTGAGTTCCTCCAGGTATATTCCCAGTAGAGAGATTGCGGGGTCATATGGGAGGTCGATTTTTAGATCTTTTAGGAATCGCCACACTGTTTTCCTTAGAGTCTGTACTAATTTACACCCCACCAAGCGTGTAGAAGTGTTTCCTTTTCCCTGCCTCCTCTCCAGCATCTGTTGTTTTTTGAGTTATTGGTGATGGCCATCCTGACTGGAGCTAGGTGGTATCTCAGTGTGGTTTTGGTTTGCATTTCTTTGATGACTAGTGAGGTTGAGCAATTTTTCATGTATCTGTTGGCTGCTCGTATGCCTTCTTTTGAGAAGTGTCTATTCATATCTTTTGCCCACTTTGTAAAGGGGCTGTTTGTTTTTTTCTTTTCAGCACATTTGAGTTCCTTATAGATCCTAAATGTTAGTAGGCCTTTGCCAGATATACAATTGGCAAATATTTTTTCCCCCAGACTGTGGGCTGTCTCCCCACTCTCTCAATTGTTTCTTTGGCTTTGCAGAAGCTTGTCTGTTTGCCAATTTTGTAAAAATCAGAAAAGGAACCAATTCCGTGCAACTTTAAGGATTTGAAAATCTAGATGTTATTACATTTTTTTCTTAGAAAATATAAAGGACCAAAATCAGTGTAAGAAGAAATGGCAAATCTGACCAGGCTAACAACAAAAGAAGAAACAGTTAGGAAATAACCTCCCAGAGGCTGATTGAGAGCCAGACAATTTTCTGGGCAGATCGGCCAAGGCACTGGGGAACAAATATTTGCCATCCTCTACTAAACCTTGCAGATCCTAACCAGAGCTTGGAAGCCCAGTGGCAGCTCCTGTGAGAAAGGGCTCTGGGGAGAGCACTTGCTCTGAGACTCTTTGATAGGCAAACGCACTGTGTGGACTTACACTGAGTACTTCCCCAGGGTACTCTGAAGGAGAGCTGTGACGCTCAGCTACTGAAACTTTCTCAGGTTACTCTAGGAAGCCAGCATAACCGCATTATCCAAACCAGCAGGGGATAGCACAAAAAAGGACAACTCCAGGCCAAGCTCAGGGGGAGGCTGAGACAGATGCTAAAGTCTTGAATCCAACAATCCTAAATAGGGATGGAGAGACAGGAGAGGGATTGAGGCTGGCAGAAGATGGAAGGATGAGGCAGAGAGAGTGATAAAAAAGAAAAGATGGAGTGCATTGCAAAAGGACACACTCCACCACTTCATCTCGGGGTGGGTTAGTATTCTAAAGCTCATCATCCACCTTTTCCTGTCCTGCAGCCTCCTGCCATGGGAAACTCCATCATTTAGGCACTGGACAAGGGCAGAAAAGCCACACCTGAGGATGCCCAGGAATTTGGCTTTGTTCCTGGAGTGTGAAACCAGGAAACAGATTTGATGAGCTCAAGCTTGAAGAGGTGGTGCAATTAGTCACCCTCCATAGGCTGAGCCTAGAGAAGGCCGAAGCTCCTGGCCTGGGATGCTTGGTCCTGGGTGGAGCCAAGTGTCCAGGATCTGAGGTGGAACCTCAGGTCCTCTGAGGGGAGTGGGCCTTAGTGCCCTTGTTTGAGCAAAGCCTGAAAACACGTGCAAATTCTCACCACACCTGGGCACCCACACACATAGCTCTGCCACCCCCGCTTGCTCACACCCTGTACATTCCTTTCTACCTGGCCTTCCCACCAGCAATCCCACCTCCACCCCCTCTCTCTGTCTCTCCCCTTGGCACCAAAACCCAAATATCTTTCACCCCTGCACCCAATTTTACCCACCCACTAGCTCTTGTTCTTCTGGTCTCAGCTCCCTTCTAACTGGCTCCCAGATCCATGCGCTGCCACAGACCTGCCAGCTACCACCTGCTCTTATGTTCTTCACGCCCTTATGCCAAACTCTCAGCTGTTCCCCCCACCCCCCAACCTGAGCCAATATGTCAACACTTGGGGCTTCAGGTTGGAGCTTAGAAGCCCCAGGGGAGGAGGGCACGAAAGATGAGCTTCTGGTCCCAGCCCAGGTTCTGGCTCACAGTCTCTTGCTGTCCCAAGTCATCGGCCCCTCCCCCTGGCTGCCTCAACCGGCTTTTCAGGAGACACTGCGTCCCATTCCGACTCAGACTCATGGCAATCAGCCCCCTGCCCTTGCCCAAGGGCTGGGAGGCAGGAGGTCTGGATTCTGTGACAGGAATGTGATCCTGGCTCCAAAATCTGCAGCACTGCCCCAGAGACCCTGTGCTGCTCTGGGGACCTAGATGCCCTTCCATCCCGCACCCCATGAGGCACAGGCTCAGGCTTGGACCCTCTTCCCTTCTAACACATCCAATCTATTAATATTTATGGAACCCCAGGCAATGTTCTAGAAGCCAGGAATAAGGCAGTTATCAACACAGACAATGGTTCTGTGGTCTGTATGTTTACAATCAGGTAGGTGAAACAGACAATAAATAATAACTTTGGATCATGGCAAGCGCTATAAAAACAAAAGGATGATATTACAGAGTTTAACTGTAATATCATGTTATGGTCGGAGGTCATCAGGGAAGGTTGTTTTGAGAAGGTGGCATTTGAGCCAAGCAAGGAATGAGGAAGGAGCCAGCCATATGAAGATCTGAGTTCTGCTTTCCAGGCAGAGAGAGGAGCAAGTGCCAAGGCCACGAGGCAGGAATGAGCCTGGTAAGTTGAGGAACAGGGAGAAGGCCTGTGTGGCTGGAGCACAACAAGTGAGGGGTGGGGGTGGCCCACAAGAATAAGGTCGAATGACTCACTCCCCTCCCCTCCCCGAGCCAGACCTCCCATCTTTCTAAACCCTCACTGCTGGGGGAGCTGGATGTTTCGATCCCTGGGAGGAGTAAGGTGTCAAAAAATCACCAGGGTACCAGGGATGGAGTGTGACCGAAGGCGGGTTTGGGAGAGAGGAGGACTGGATAGTGGGCAAGGAATGAGACGAGGGAGTTGGAAGGGCGGACCCTCATCTCTGGGGTGGAGGGTCTGTGCTGGGCAAGAAGCAAAGATGCCAGGATTCTTCTCCATCCGTGACTCACCCTCTCTCCCTCCTCCTCTTTATTGCTCAACTCCAAATCTCCCTGGGAAGCACCTCCTTGACTGAGGACCAAGTCAGTGCCTCACAGAGGCAATTGAGTCACGAGGGGTGGAGAAGAGGGAGGGAGGGAGAGGATAAATAGCAGCCTGGCTTCCCTGGCTCCTCTCTGCGTCCTCCTCATCTTCCCAACAACATGCATCTTGCCAGTCTGATCAGCTCCTGCTCCCTCCTCCTGCTACTGGGGGCCCTGCCTGGATGGGCAGCTAGCGATGACCCTCTTGAGAAGGTCATCGAAGGGATCAACCGAGGGCTGAGTAATGCAGAGAGAGAGGTTGGCAAGGCCCTGGAAGGCATCAATAATGGAATCACCCACGCTGGAAGGGAAGTGGAGAAGGTTTTCAGTGGACTTGGCAACGCGGGGAGCCAGGCCGGCAAGGAATTGGACAAGGGCATCCAGGGGCTCAACCACGGCTTGGACAAGGTAGCCCATGACATCAACAGTGGCGTCGGACAAGCAGGAAAGGAAGCAGAGAAGTTTGCCCATGGGGTCAACAACGCTGCTGGACAGGTTGGGAAGGAGGCAGACAAAGTGATCCATCACGGGATCCATCATGGGGCCAACCAGGCGGGAAGTGAAGCAGGGAGGCTTGGCCAGGGTGTCCATCATGCAGGGCAGGCTGGGCACGAGACTGGCAGCTTTGGCCAGGGGGCCCACCATGGCACAGGGCAGGCTGGGCACGAGACTGGCAGCCTTGGCCAGGGGGCCCACCACACCGTGGGGCAGGGTGGGCATGAGGCTGGGAGCTCTGGCCAGGGGGCCCACCATGGCACAGGGCAGGCTGGGCACCAGGCTGGGAGCTCTGGCCAGGGGATCCACCATGCTGCCAGTCAGGTTGGGAAAGAAGCAGAGCAGTTTGGCCAGGGGGTCCACCATGCTGCCGGTCAGGTTGGGAAGGAGGTAGAGAAGTTTGGCCAGGGAGTTCACCATGGGGTTAATGATGCCTGGAAAGAGGCAGAGAAATTCGGACAGGGGCTCCACCACGCTGCTGGTCAGGCTGGAAAAGAGGGAGACAGAGTGGTCCAAGGGCTCCATCATGGCGTTAACCAGGCCGGAAAGGAGGCAGGGCAGGTTGGCCGCGATGTTCATTACGCTGCAGGACAGGCTGGGAAAGAGGGAGACGCAGTCCATAGCGTCTATCCTGGGGTCAACCAGGCCGGGAAGGAGGCGGGGCAGTTTGACCAGGGAGTTCACCACACCGTTGAACAGGCTGGAAAGGAAGCAGACAGAGTGGTCCAAGGGATCCACAGTGGGGTCAACCAGGCCGGGAAGGAGGCAGAGAGACTCAGCCAAGGGGTCGACTATGCTGCTGGCCAGGCCGGGAAGGAAACGGAGAAACTTGGCCAAGGCGTCCACCATGCTGCTGGCCAGGCCGGGAAGGAGGTGGACAGGTGGCAGCAGAATGTTCATAATGGGGTCAACCAAGCCGGCAAGGAGGCCAACAAGCTACCGAATGTAGGTGAACAGGGGTGGGGAAATGGGGGAGAAGGGGGCTGCGGGAGGGAGAGGTTAAACCCTCGGGCATTCGGGGAATCCCTGTGGCCTTTGGTGAAAGAAGCTTGGGCAGCCATATAACAGTTCTCCTTCTTTTTCCTTCCACCCTACAAAGAAGTTGGTGGTCAGATGGATCGAGCCATCTTATCTGTCCATATCGAGCCCATATCAGAAAGTGTGGAAGGGACCCAGTCCCACCTCAGGGAGCTGCCTCCTAGTTAAGGGGGTCTCAAGTGAAGGCCTCTCCTAGGATCTGAGATCAAGGTCCATTACAGTGCAAATGGAATAAGGGCGAGCAAGGGGGAGAGCTTTTGGAGATAAGCCCTATTCTGTTTAATTTTCATAACAACCCTCTGGGGTAGTCAGGATAGGGATGCCGACTCCCTGATTCTCAGATAAGGAACCGAGACTCAGAAAAGTCAAGAGGGTGTGCCAAGGTCACATGGCTAGTGCCTGGCTTTGGTGAACTGCAGGTCAGGGTCCTTTCCTTTCGTCCACGCTGCTCAATCAGGGAGGGACTTCTGGAGGCTTTCTCTTACCGTTCAGGTGGAGGGAACAGACATTGGAAGCCAGGCAAGCAGGCATTCACAACAGAATAGGCGGCCAAGGAGGGAGCTTGGGGAACAGCATACGCCAACCCCTGTGTGCCTCAATTCTCCATTCTCCAATCTCCCTGAGGTGGTGTAGGATCAGCAAGACGGGACGCCATTTTGAGGGCTGGTCGAGGCTTCAGAGCTGTCTGCTGCCAGGCAGAAAGCCAGGGGTGGGTGGGGATGGAGAAATGATGTGGAAAGAATGCACGGCAGAGGAGAGGGCCTGCATTAGACGGCAGGGAGCACCCAGCAGGAGACAGGCCAGGGCAGCTGTTAAGGGATTGGAGGGTGGAATCAGCAGCTGGGGGTGGAGCGATGCTGGGGAGGCAAGGCTGGGTGTCTTGGAAGAGGATTAAGGACGAAGGATTGGCCTGAGTTAGGGATATGACTGGACTACGTGTGAGTCAGGCTGAGGGTAGACGATGGTCCTTGTATTCATCGTGGGTCCTCTGGGTTCCCTTTCCAGTCAGGAGAGCATTTCATTAACCAAAATTGAAAAGGAGCTGGGGAAAGACTAGACAGTAGGAGGCACACATCTTCCTGGGTTTTCTTCCCACCTCTCACAGAATTCCCACAGCAACATGGGCTTTGGGTTTTCTTTCTGGACAGTGAGAAGGCAGTGGGTTAAGCCTGCGCCGCCCATCCTAGCCCCAGACACCCTAGAGGGGGCAGGTCATTGGGGAAAAGGAGCTAGGGAGACCCTCAAGGGTTGAAGGGTTGTAACGTGGGTCTGGGTTTTGTCCACAGACCAGCCATCAAGGCGGAGCTACCGGCTATCACGGAGGGGCCGGAACCACCACATTAACATCTGGAGTAAGTCTTTCCAGCACAGTGTGGACTCGGGTGGGGGAAGTGGAGGCCCTTCGGAGATCCCTCTGATGGTGGTGGAATGGTGGAATGGATGCTGGTGACTGACCTTGTTCCTGAATTCCAGGCCTCGGTCAACAAGCCCTTCATCAACTTTCCAGCTCTGTGGAGGGTGAGTGCCACATGGATTCTCCCTTCTGCTCTGTGTCCTGAGAAATATCTCACACCTCCCTCCCAGTGCCTGTTTTCAGCTCTGGCCTTTTCTTTCTTCACCTGCTCTTTCCCCTCTGCCCCCTGCTTTCATCTCTCGGGAACTTTTCATTCCCACTGAGGCAAACACAAGCTGGCAGAAAGACCTCTGGGGCCCTTGTGCAGCTGGTAGCCAGGGAGGGAGGAGGGGCTGCTGAAGCCACGCCTTCTCTCCTTGTCATCCCCCAATTCCCATTTGCCAGCTGGCTTCTCTCTCTTCCCCACCGTGCCAGGAATGCCCTTGCTACCCTGCCCCCGCGGCCTTGTCAATATGCTGGGGAGTGGGAACCTGTGGTTTGGTCCTTTCCCTGGCAGAGAAGGGTCCCCAGTGTCGAGGCTTCTGTGGAATCTTGGCCCCAAAGTAGAGTCCTGGCTCTCTCTCTTTGCGTTTAGTATGCCTGCTGCCCAAGACTGGGGTACGGGGTAAAGCTGTGCAACAGAGGTGAATGGTCCACCTTGTGTCTTCCTGGCCACGAGGGTGGCAGAGGGTCCTCTGAGACAAAACAGACAAGCCTTCTCGGTTTCTACCAAGAAGTCCCAGCACCTCTGCCTGGGAGGACTGGCTCCCACTTCTTCCTGAGTCTAGATACCACCTCCCTTAAGGTTTTCCCCAGAACATAAACAATTCCTGGGCCAGAGCAGCTGGTGTCCCCCTTACATCTCTATGGGGTTCAGGACAGAGATCTCAGGCCCCCTCTGACTGTGGACACTGCATTCACTCTCTCTCCTTCTCTCTTTCAGAGCGTCGCCGACATCATGCCCTGAACTGATGCCCTGGCCTTGCTGGGCAGACTCATGTTCCCGTTGTCATATCAACTGAAATGTCCTGGAGGAGCAGAGGGTGGAGCATATATTCCTAGAGTCTCTTGAGGGGAATATAACGAATTTGTGAATAAATGTGGTATACTGTACTCTCTCATCATGGTCCACTGTGCTCCCTAAGGAGGGACGGGTAGGGTGGTGGTGAGGAAGAGGCTTGTCTTTTCTCTTCCTGTTACTTTGCTGAAGAAGTCAGGGGTCTGATGCACAGGATAGGTTGGGCTAGAGATTTCAGGCTGATCAGCACTAAGAGGGCAGTTAACAGGGACAAGCCATTCTTTGCTGGTATGCAACACTTATGCTTTACATCGGGATGAGGCCCCTTGCAGGGAAAGGTACTGCGGGCCAGTGGGGGACAGAAGCACCAGGGAGAGAATGGCCAGAGCCTAGGTAGAGCCCAGGAGGTAGCATCTTCACTCAGGGGTGTGGCACCAAAGGAATAACAACAGTAACTTGTATTTATTGGCCAATTAAGTCATGCCAGGCTCCCTGCTGGGTGCTTTACAGGCATGACATCACTGAATCCTCCCAACGACTCAGTTAGTTTAAGGTACTGTTATTGCCGCATTTTATAGAGAAGCACGTGGAGGCTTGCACAGGTTAAGAAACATGACCAAGTTTACAGTCAGTAAGTGGAGAGAGAGAAACAGCCTAAGAGCTACAAAGAATATTCTGGAAAAGCAGGGATCTTTTCCCTTTGGCATCAAGGGAGAGGGAATTAGTGAATAAGGGCAGAGGACTGAGACACACATGGGAGACCCTGTCAGGGGACAGAGTGGGTGGGACAGAAGGCTCAGATGGAAGACACACTGATGACAGGAGTGACAATGAATGGAGGCACACAGCACCCTGTTTCCAGGTCTGTGGACCACTCACAGCCCAGAGCAACAGTGATAGCAACTACTGAGTACTGAGCACTGACTGGATTCCAGGAACTGTGTGAAGAACTGATCATATTCCATAACCATACAAGTCTCCCACAACCCAGAGGCAGAAGTCCTCTTATTATCCCCATCGTATGAATGACAAAACTGAGGCTCAGTAGGGTGAGGGCACTTGCCCATAAGAAAGCAGCAGGCCTGGATCTGGTGTCTGTTCCACTGCCAAGACTTGACCTCTTACTGCTGCTGGTAAAGTCTCTATAACTTTCAAACTCTGGCCTGGGTGTTGGAGACTTGCATTCCAATCAGGATCAGGTGCCTGAGACAGTCTGCTTCCCCTCGAGGGGCCACAGTTTCCTTCTATATAAAGAGGAGGGTGAGCCGGGTTCGGTGGCTCAGCCTGTAATCCGCGCCTTTGGGAAGCTGAGGTGAGTGGATTGCCTGAGCCCGCGGGTTCAAGACCCGCCTGGGCAGCGAGACCTCATCTCTACAATAAATCAAAAAATCAGCCGGGCGTGGTAGCGCATGCCTGTAATTCCGGCTACTGGGAAGGCTGAGGCGGAAGGATCGCCGGAGCCCAGCAGGTTGAGGCTGCGGTGGCCGGGAGCGGCCACTGCACTCCAGTCTGGGCGACAGAGTGAGACACCAACTCAAAAAAAAAAAAAAAAAAGAGGAGGGTGTCTGAAGAGGAGGACTACAATGATTGCTTCCAGCTCCCAAATTTGTCAATCATGAGACCAAAAATTTAAAAAAAAACCAAAAACAACCAGTGTATCCTTGCCCTTGGGGAAATTACAGTCTTCCTTGGGAAGACGAGGCATATAAACAGAATATGAATGCAAATACAAAGCAACACATCAGTAAGAGCTGAGTGACACACCGGCAGTGGGAACTACCTGAATTTGCGTTCAATAAACGTGATGTTCCTGACTCTACACGTTTTTCCTTATTTTGCAGAGTACCATCATTTTATTACATATGTTCCTTCCCTTCCCCTGCAATATTTTATTCTGAAAACATTTCAAACATACTGAAAAGATGACGGACTGTTTACAGCGAACACCTGCATTCTCACCACTTAGAGTCTACCATTACCATTTTACTTGCTGGATCACACTCTATCCATCCAGTCATATATCGATGCATTTTTTTTTTTTTTTTTGAGTCGGAGTCTCACTCTGTCGCCCAGACTGGAGTGCAGTGGCCGCTCCCGGCCACCGCAGCCTCAACCTGCTGGGCTCTGGCGATCCTTCCACCTCAGCCTTCCAAGTAGCTGGAATTACAGGCAGACGCTACCATGCCCGGCTAGTTTTTTGATTTATTGTAGAGATGAAGTCTCGCTGCCCAGGTGGGTCTCGAACCCGCGGGCTCAGGCAATCCACTCACCTCAGCCTCCCAAAGGCGCGGGATGACAGGCTGAGCCACCGAGCCCAGCTTATCGATGCATTTTTGATGCAACTCAAAGTAAACTGCAGATGTCTGTTTGCTGCATTTCAATCATGGAACCATTCTTCGTGTTTATTGAGGGCCTACTCTGTGCTGGACATCATTTCTTATGGGCTGGAGGAGTACCTACTGGAAGAAATCCTACAGCAGCTGCTTTGGAAGAGGCAATATTCCAGGGAACCATTCTTTTACAGAGTTAAAGCTTTCACTGACTTTCTTTTTATGCACATGTTCTTGCTTGGATGAGGGCTCCTAAAAATACCCAAGAGAGATGGAACAATTGAAAAGCACTGGGAGTCAATCCTGGGAGGCTTCTGGAAAAGGAGAGCTTTGGAAGGTAAAAGAGATACGTTTTCTCCTGCCTGGAGGCCTTGTCAGTTGTTCCCTCTGCTAGGAATACTCTTCATGTCCCTCTGTCCCCATGCTGGTTCTTCCCCTCAGCCACTTCGACCACCCAACCTGAACAACAGTCCGCCCTCGTCATTATCTCAGCCTGATCTTGTTCTTCTTATTGCTTATGACAACCTGTATTATATTATAAACATCATATTCGTTTCCCCTCAGACTAAGAGGTGCATGACATGAGGTCAAGGCCAGGCACAAGTGTCTGCTAAGTAGCAGGGGGAGACCATTGGCTTGAGTAGACTTGGAAAAACCATGGGGTAAGTGTGAGCAAGAAACAGGCTCCTAGCCGGGCTCGGTGGCTCAGCTTGTAATCCCGCGCCCTTGGGAGGCCGAGGTGAGTGGATTGCCTGAGCCCGCGGGTTCGAGACCCACCTGGCCAACTTGGCGAGACCTCATCTGTACAATAAATCAAAAATCAGCCGGGTGTGGTAGTGCACGCCTGTAATTCCGGCTACTCGGAAGGCTGAGTGGAAGGATCGCCGGAGCCCAGCGGGTCGAGGCTGCGGTGGCCGGAACCG